TGAACACATCTAGTGATTGTGACTTTTCATGAATGAGATATATGTAGCCATATCTAGAAAAATCATCTATGAACGTTATAAAATATTGTTGACCATTCCAAGCAACCGTAGGGAATGACCCATAAATGTCCGTATGTATAAGTTCTAAGACGTCCAAAGTCCTGTTGGCTTCAAATCTCCTTTTATTGGTTTGTTTCCCCTTTATACAGTTAACACAAACATCAAAATCTGTAAAATCTAAGGGGTCTAGAATTTCATCTGACACAAGTCTCTCTATTCTCCGTCTGGAGATATGACGTAATCTCTTGTGCCATAACGCAGCTGAATTCTCACTGGTTAATTTTCTCTTTATACCTCGTGTACTTAATTGCAGGGATTCATTAAATGAAGTAATTGTATCAATTAAATAAAGATTATCATATCCTGCCAAAGAACCAGAACCAACTAATTTTGAATCATGAAACAAATTAAATTTTTCATTCCCAAATGAACAAGAATAACCAGATTTGTCCAAAGCAGAAATAGAAATTTAATTCCATCTAAAAGATGGTACCATAAATGTCTCATCAAGATCCAAATAAAATCCAGTCTTTAATAATAATCTAAATTTTCCTATTTCTTCAACTTGAACCGTCTTGCCATCACCCACATAGATGTATCTTTCACCATCACTTGGCTTTTGGCAACTCAAGCAACCTTGCATAGACACACTGATGTGAGTTGTTGCACCAGAATCTATCCACCACGTGTGTCTAGGTACCGAAGTTAAATTAACCTCAGAACAAACCAAACTAAGAAGCATACCTTTCTTAGCACGCCATGCGTGATAGTTGGTGCAATGCTTCTTCCTATGCCCTTCAACCCCACAGAAGTAACAACTTGTACCTTCCGGTTCAACCGGTTTCTTTTGTTGTTTCTTCTGAGGTGCTATATCTGCAGCTTCCTTCTTCCTTTTCTTTCCCTTGTCCTTGTCCTTAGGGGTTGAGGCCAGGTGAGCACTTTCTGCCTTATCTTGCTTCAGCCTTTCCTCTTCCTAAACACAGTGTGATATGAGCTCATTCAAAGACCAAGTCTCTTTCTGACAGTTGTAACTCACCTTAAACTGGTTAAACTGTGCCGAAAGGGATATTAAAACCAGATGCACCAGCAAGTCCTCAGAGAGTTCAAGCTTAAGTGCTTTCAACTTTGAAGCAAGATGAGACATCTCTAGGATGTACTCCATGATATTGCCTTTGCCCCTATACCTCATTGAAATTAGACTTGTCAAGAGCGTACCTATTTCAGCCTTTTCATTCTTGACAAACCTCTTTTCAATGTCCGCAAGGAACTCTTTAGCCGTAGTAATCTTATCCGACATTGTGCCTCTGAATGCTTCCGGAATGGCCTTCTTCATGATCATCATACACATGCGATTTGATTTCTCCCACCTTTCCATATCCCTCTTGTCATCAAAGGTACTATTATCCGTAAGAGGTGGAGGAGAATCAATCCTTAACGTAAGGTCGAGATCTATGACTCCGAGAACTATCAAGAGGTTCTCTTGCCATGACTTAAAGTTAGAGCCATTTAGCATAGGAATAGAGTTGATGTTGGCAGTAATATTAGTAGGAGTCATAGCTAAACAGAGAACAACAACAAACAAACAAAACAAGCTCACATAAGTCCCAAAATAAAAATTAAATTCAAATAAAGGTAAACCCCATCTCAAGATACCGGGCACTCCATTAACATTTCATCTTTGGACAAAATGTTAACTTGTAAGTGATATCTTGGTGTAGTAATCAAACACTGATAATGAGAACACGCCAAACAATAAATCTTCCTGTCGGCCGATTTATTGTTCACATGTAAAACTGAATAATTATCACGCGTTTATTACCACATGTGCACATGTAATTCTATTAAATATTGACCTTCCTTTGGGCCGATCAATATTCACATAAGTTATATATACACAACTATTTATATTTCAAAACAAATTAATTTTCACAAGAGAGGTCACTTTGGTAACATGTTGCTTCAATTAATTCATCTCAAAATATATATAACCATACCAATATCTAAATTTAAAATTGCACCACAATGACCCAAAAAAAATTTAAAAAAAATAAAAATAAAATAAAATCTTTTTTGTCAAAGTCAACGGTCAACATTGACCGATCAAAGTCAATGGTCAAGTGTTGACCGGGTTGAGGCTGGACCGGGTCGGGTAAACCCAACCCGGATCCTGAACCAGCCTACTTCTTTAATCCGGAGGGTTACTTGTGGTAACCTTTCTTTTTTTTTTTAATTTGCTGCGGGCTGAAGCCCGCAACCTTTCTCAGTCACAGGCCCAATTGGGCCCGTACTGTTCCTGAAGCACTTTGAGCCGTAACCCAGAGTGCTGAAAACCCTAGGGGTCAAAAGACCCCTGGGTGAGAGAGGCGGCCGAACGGCCACCTCTGTAGATGCCGCGGCTGCCCCTCTCTGGCGCGGTCTATGGCCGTGACCGGTATTCCTTGATGCCGACGGTGCCTAGGGGCTGCCGCCGGCCAAATGGCATGAAGTCCTTTTTTTAAAAAAAATACCTTATGCGGCAGCCATGGCTGCCACTTTCTCCATTCTGCCGCGGCCACAAGCCGCGGCTGTCCCTTGCCGGCGTGGCCAAAGGCCGCGCCTTACCCACAGAGCCGGCGGCGGCAGAGGCTACCGCCGGCCAAAAAGATGATTTGGGTTCAATAAACCCAAATACCCAAAAATTGTTCTCTAAAATTATATCTGAAATTGTCTAAAATTGTTCTCAAAATCCAACAACCCCAAACTTGAAATTGTTAAATTCAAGAACACCAAACATATCACGATAGTTCGATAATAAATTCGATTCTCAATGATTTAACATGAAGAGGCTCTGATGCCACTTGTTAAAAATTAATAATTTGGTGAAAACCACCACCCAAAAGCCAAGAACATTCATGTTAGATCATCAAGAATTAATAAATATGTAAGCGGAAGCGTACCTGAATTCATTTTGCTTGATTTCTCTCTAGAGTCGTGCAGTTTGTCTTCCAGATCAACACGCTTTCCTAGAGAACCCTTTAACTTTCTCTCTGTATTCTTTCTGATGATGGGATGTTAGAAGGAATGAAAATGTTATGTATGATCTGGGGACCATAACTGCCATATATTGATAACTTTCCTGTTATCTTTTGGTATTTCTATTTTAGCCCATCATAAAAATAGAAATTACCCTTAAGTCTCTACACATTAAAGGCTCACACCCTATTAGATACATTAAAGCTCAAAATACCTAAACCTTAGTAGATCACTTTTAATTAGGCTTAATCTTATATGACAATCCGCAACACATAATTATTCACATATAAGCCCAACGTTGGATTAAGGATCTAACAAAACAGACCATTCAAAAAACTGAAGAAGTAGACTTGTTGTGAAACATGTAGTTGCCAATTGTCTGAGGCAAAAAAAAAATATTTGTAATTCAATAGACTCAGAGAAGCTTAGTCCAGGCCTTCCCTTACCATTTATTATGTTTTTGTATTTCTTAGTGTGATTGTATGTATGTTTTGGCATATTGGTACACGTGTGAAATATTATTATATTTGCTTATCCACACTTTCACTTTCAAACTGATAAAAGCAAATTGCTTCAATTGCTTTTTATTTCATTACTCCAGTAGCTTATGCACATTTATTTACTTTTTCGGTCCTATGATTCTTGAGTTCTCTCTTTTGAGTATTTTATTTATTTAATTCCCATATTATTTGGCAATTGATGAGGAGGGAGTCTAAAAAGGGATTGTGGAATATCTAATTATGAACGCATTCTTGGGAATAAAAAACTTCTTGTTGTTGAAATGTTGAACCAATCTATTGGCCCCTTAGAATTTGTTTGCCATTTCTTTTTTGAAACTCAAAATTAGGCTTCTAAAAAAAGTTCTTGTAAGAAGGCTTTAAAACTTAAATATACAACATCTTTAATAAGATTTTGTAGATGCTTCACTATATTATTTTTATTGCTTATTATAAAATTTAAACATTATCTTTCTTTCATTAAGCACCTTAAAAAATATATAATTTCAAAACATTAATTGGAAAGTTATAAACTTTACTTATCTTATAATTCTATTGCAACATCATATGTGCCTAAGTGCTTCTAACTAAAGTCTTGCACATGTACCACCGGTGGTGGTGGCATGGTGGCAGGAAGATGACTTATCAAGACTCTCTCTTCCATTAATTAGGAATCGATTTCCCTTGTCTGTAGTGAGACTGCAATTATGCCTTTCAGTGGGTCTGCCGAAATGACTTGGGCCGGTTGTGACTTAAGAGACGTTTGTTTCCTATATTAATTCTTGATTCTGAATCATGATTCATGATTATTTACAGTATTTTTCTCTCATAAAAAATACACGTAAAACGAAAATAATTTTGAATCATGATTTTGAATATATAAATTAAACGTCCTCTTAGACTCTCTAGATACTGGTAGATGAAAGCATGGGTCACTTCCCTTGTCGTTTCACATGTTGATCTTACTAGATTTCTCTTCAGGCGCTGAGTGAGAACTTGAGGATAACATGCGGTGTAATTCAATTGATAATTTTACTTTCTAGAAAAAATATCATTTTCCTTAAGTGTACGTTAAACAGATTCATATAACACCTACTTTAGTGTTTAGAAATTCACCCATTTCTTTCCCGGTATGCATTAATCTAATTTTGAATACATAGTTAATACGTATTTATTGCTGCCATTTAAAAAGGAAAATCATTTGCTTCCGCGAAATTTCTATACTCTCAGAACAGAAACGAATGATAATAGCCTAATTACATGACAATTGTGAATAGTTGTCATTTTCAGTTATTTTCCTTTTTTTCCCTTCGAAATAAAAAATGAAAACAGAAAATGAACGTTTCATCTGACTATAAATATACAAGGCTCTAGCACAAGTGTGAAAATCCATTTCTTTTCACTAAAAAAAAAAAAAAAAAAAAAAAAAAGGGTTCCATATCTTGCTTTGTTTTCCTCTAGGTTTTCAAAACATCTCTGATTTTCTGTCGTTTTTGACTTGTCTGAAAGTCACTGCGATATTAGAAGCCATGGGAACTCAAGCGCAGAACGTTCAGAGTAGCTATGCCCGGACAGATGTTAGTCTCTCTCATTTTCTCTCTTCTTAAAATATTGAAAAATCTTTCCAAACATGTTGGACATATAGCTATGTATTTTGGACATGCGTTTTGTCGTTTCATTTGTTTTTTTTTTTTTTCCCTTGTGCATGAATCTTACTCTCTCTTGAGAATCATGCACGAGTCCTTCATGTACACACTTCTTGTTTGTTTGTGTGGTAGATAAATTGCGGTAACTAAAAGAAGAAGAAAAAAAAAAAAAAAAAAAAAAAAAAAAAAAAACACACACACACACACACACACACACGCATACAATTTTTGTTTAACACATGTAATGGAGCATCGGAAATATTACTATCACTAGAGAAGCAAACAAAAACAAAAAAAAACAAACAAAGACTAATTTCTTCTATTCAAGTCATGTTGGCTAATTTCTTGGATTCAACTTTCTGCGGTTTTTTATCATATTTTTATTTTTTATACTGGAATGCGGTTTTCTTTTTTTTTCTTTTTTTTTTTTTCCTTTTGGTCATTGATTCTCGACATATTTTAATAGAAGAACGCGTTTTTTAGCAACCAAAAAGAAAAAAGGGAAAAAAAAATTGAAGAAGAAGAAGGAGAAGAAATCAGAACGTGTGCGTATCATAAATATTCACTAGTGCACCAACTGGATTTTTTATTTTCCTTGAGTTTTTAAAGTTTCTTACTTTCTTTAATTAAGCGCCTAACATTATTATCTTTTTTTTTCCCTCTAGTACACTGCTTGTTTAATTAATATTACTATATTGGGCCCAGAAATATCTTTCTTCTGTCGTTTTCTTTTGTAACTTTCCTTCAAAGCAAAATATTATGTTTGACTTGAAATTGTATTATGGATGATCAATGACAGGATTGTCACCTCCGCCTATAGACTATAAGCTATTGTTTTCCTAAATTATTCATTTTTGTTTTTGGATTAGCATCGATTTTTTTTTTTTTGTTTAATTCGCATACATTGCAATTATTTTTGTTCTCTTTTATGGTACGGGAAATGTGCAAACGCGCTCCAATTAAATTTTGCAAACAGAAATCTTCCCCTCATTCTCTGTTTATTTAAGGATTTTATAGAATATTTTCCAGGACTTGATGACGCTATTTAAGCTATTTTATTCCAATAAAAGTAAACTAAATCAACAGATAAAAACATTGCTTCTTTTTTCTTTTATGGATGAGGGCTGTGTATTAATTTCAAGTATTTTAGTAGGCATTTTGTTTCTATTACTGAATAACGTGCCTAGACATTTTTTTCAAAAAAAAAAAAAAAAAAAAAATTGTATAGGTATACTAAGTAACATCATAGACCAACAATTATATACATTAATACTTATTGGATTCAAGAAAAAAAAAAAAAAAAAGAAGGAAATTTTAAGAGCATGTGAACCGAGTGTTACAGTTTTCTTTTAATAGACATTGCTAACTTTATTTAGCTAATAGTTGTTGATTTTCTTGAACTTATGAATGTCCGATACAGCTACAGCTGTAACATATTTAATAATCGAGATAGAAAAAGCATAGTAATAAATATTCACTTTTACCAAATATGTAAAGTTCCACTGTTTTAGGATATATGAAGCTATAAATTGTGATTCCATTTTTAATCAATGTCAGAATTCTAGGTCGCCAATTTTAGGTGTAGGGATAGCAACTCGTTTTCCTTTACATAATTCTAGGTTCCTCATATATTGTGCTATCAAACACAAGATTTCCATTAAATAAATATTATAAATATTATAATAATAATTTCTAATAATAATTATAATTATAATTATAATTATAATAATTATAATAATAATAATTATTATTATAATTATTATTATTATTATTATTATTGTTGTTGTTATTATTATTATTATTGTTATTATTGTTATTATTGTTATTATTATTATTATTGTTATTATTATTATTATTATTGTTATTATTGTTATTATTGTTATTATTATTATTATTATTATTATTATTTATTAATATTATTATTTATTATTATTTGAAATCTGCCAATATTTCTCTCATAATTGATACTTAAAATTGCCAAATGTTATGAAAAATGCATTGGGGTTAGAAAGTGGGACTATATGTGGGCTTCTATTAGTTGAGTGTGATGCTCAATACCAGTATCGTCTCTAATATTACTGTTCAAATGTTACACCATCACATGATAAGGTGTTCCAATGTAATATTGACGCGTGTTTTGTTCAATATGTTGTGAAAATTAACAATATGGATGAACCATCCTTTAGATTGATGAAAAATTAGCGAAGCAGAAGGAACTTGATGACTGGCTTCCAATCACATCTTCAAGGAATGCTAAATGGTGGTATTCTGCCTTCCACAATGTCACGGCTATAGTCGGAGCCGGTGTCCTCAGTCTTCCCTATGCCATGTCAGAACTTGGATGGTATGTATTCCATATATAAAAAATGTTTGGCCAAAATCACTTACAGTTTGACAAAATACACCTTAGTTTTCAATTTTTTGTTGAATGAAAAAAAGGAGATCTGGTGGTGCACTTCATATTCCCTAGTCCCTTCGACTATAACAACAATCTCAGGTACTAGTGAGTATGTAAAAAGGGCCTGAACTAAACTCTCACTTACCATCCACTCAGTTTTCACTCTAATAAATTTGTCTTGTTTTTTTTCTAGGGGTCCTGGGGTGGTAGTTCTAGTGTTGTCATGGATCATCACATTGTACACTCTATGGCAAATGGTTGAGATGCACGAGATGGTTCCAGGGAAACGTTTCGACAGATATCATGAACTTGGTCAGCATGCTTTTGGAGAAATGCTTGGTCTCTACATTGTCGTGCCTCAACAACTTGTTGTTGAAGTTGGTACGGACATTGTGTATATGGTCACCGGTGGAAAATCACTCAAGAAGTTCCATGACACCGTCTGCTCCTCCTGCAAAGACATCAAGCTGACTTACTTCATCATGATATTCGCCGCGCCTCATTTCTTACTTTCCCACTGTCCAAATTTCAACTCCATCTCCGTTGTCTCTTTGGCTGCTGCAGTTATGTCCTTGAGGTTAGTCTTTCTAATTTTCTTTACTTGTCATCTTGAAAGTTTAGAACTAACATGTCTTAAATTTTATGTGACGTGACAAAAGTTGTATCATCGAATACTACTTGACGTACAAGAAAGGCATAACAGCATCTATATTTTTCAAAAAAAAAGAAAATGGAAAAGACAAATTTTCTTAAGAAAGAGAAATAGGTTATCAAGGGACACTTAGCATAAATACATTTGCATAATTCTTTTGCAGTTACTCTACAATTGCTTGGGGAGCTTCTGCACACAAGGGTGTTCAGAATGGTGTGGACTATGGCTACACAGCCAAGACTACTTCGGAAACCGTCTTCAACTTCTTTAGCGCACTCGGAGACGTAGCTTTTGCCTATGCTGGGCACAATGTGGTCCTTGAGATCCAAGCAACTATTCCATCCACTCCCGAGAAGCCCTCAAAAGGACCAATGTGGAGAGGAGTCGTCATCGCCTACATAGTCGTCGCTTTGTGCTACTTCCCAGTCGCTCTTGTTGGATATTGGATGTTTGGCAACAACGTGGACGACAACATCCTCATCTCGTTGGAGAAACCCACATGGCTAATTGCTATGGCGAACATGTTTGTTGTCATACATGTTATTGGAGGCTACCAGGTTATAATGTTATGTCAAATTCTTCATGTTCTCTTACAATTTTTTTTTTCTTTTGTACTTCATTCCAATTTTGCACCTCTTCTGCTCTCTGGCTTTTTAGATTTACGCAATGCCAGTGTTTGACATGATAGAAACTGCACTAGTCAAGAAGTTGCACTTTCAGCCTAGCTTCATGCTACGTTTCACTGCACGTAACGTATATGTCGGTATGTAGTCTCGAATTATGCGTGATTCAAGTGTTTAAATTTTAAAAAAAACAAAACAAAACAAAAAAACAAAACAAAAAAACAAAAAAAAAAACAGGAAAGAAAGGGTCATCGAGTTGATATGAAGAACACTGTTTGTTGCAGCCTTGACAATGTTTGTTGCCATCAGTTTTCCTTTCTTTGGTGGTCTTCTTGGATTCTTTGGAGGATTTGCTTTAGCCCCAACAACGTACTTTGTAAGCCACATCCTCTATCATAAACAATAATTAATAATTTTGACTTTGGAAGATTTTTGAGTTATACCTTACTCGGTCAATCTTCAGCTCCCCTGCATCATGTGGCTTGCCATCTACAAACCAAAGAAATTCAGCTTATCTTGGTGGACCAACTGGGTAAGTTCGCCTTACAGTTTTGTGTTTCTTTCTTCCTCTTTTTTTTTTTTTTTTTTAATTTGTTCATTTGTTTTTTGCCTTTTGAGTTTGGTTAATCTCACACGAGTTGGTTGATTAATTACAGATTTGCATCACACTTGGTGTACTTTTGTTGATTGTGGCACCCATGGGAGGACTAAGGCAAATCATACTCCAAGCCAAGAACTACAAGTTTTACTCTTAGATTATATCTCTCTGTCCTAGGTAAATCGGTAGTAAATTATAGGCAACTACGGGCTACATACTGCATTGGAATGGACTCGTGTAAGTCAGTCATATATTTTAATATGTTTTTCTATTTCTTTGTCAAGTGTATGCTTTCCACACCAGGTTCATTGACGTCCATTTGGTGCCTGATGCGGAAGTTTTCGACGTCGGCGTGAATGATAGAATGTGTTCTAGTGTTTGGTTTTTCTGTCATGTGGTTTGGTTGGTACACACATGAAAGATAGTTTGTGGTTTGGTTGGTTGGTTTGTTGGTCGCCCGACGTACGAAGTATTTGTTGTCGCTTCACGCCCGACGTAAAAGCTAGTCCATGTAGTAGTATTTGGTGTCTCTTTCTGTCGTTTAGTTGGTACATGTTTGAACTATTAGTTTTGCCTATCCACACTTCTGAACTATTTTAATCAAACTGTTTTGTTTTTACCATTTTCCCTTGAGATCTCTCTGTCGTTTTACTCGGTTTGCAGATGCAATACTGTTTGTGAGGTATTCTTGTTCATACTGTAACAATTATTACACGATCATTCACTGGTCCTTAAGTTACAAATGCCATACAATTGATAATATTAAGTATTTATACGTCAATTTTCCTAATGCATAATTAATATACAGAAATATGCAGCATTAGATATTTAAAGATTTGGCCAGCAAAAATTTACAAACGAGCTAAAAGCCTAAAACTACATGACAAGCTTTTGCTCTCTAAGGACGGCAGAAATGCTAATATTATATTCAATATCTGTCGTGTTACTGGCAATTATTTTCTATTTTATGGTCCTCAAAATTTTAAATCATCAAATGAATAAGCATGGACCATCTTCCAATCATACAAAGAAAACTGTCTAAATTTCCACCTAACTTTCACAACTAGTGATTAATATATATATATATATATATATATAACAAGTATCTGAGTCTCGCTGATTAGAATCTTGGATGATCCATTTGACTTAAAATACTTTTCAATCTCTCTCACCCTTTTATGTTCTTAGCTTATGTCCTTTTGGTGAGTTTATTGGTTAATTCCAAAAGATGGTTTGACATGTTTAAATCCTTGCATCTTTTCTATATAAAAGCTCTTTGATTTCTTTCAAAAGTTTTGTCAACATGTTACAAGTCCAACTCAACTAAAATTATATATAGTCCTTGTATTATATGTTTTGAAGGTGACTATTTTTGTTAACGAAGACCATCAAACAGAAGAGACAAAGCTCAAGACTTTAGTGTTCTTGATATTTATAGTCGTTTTCTATATTCCCTATCAAACTGTTTTCCTTCATATTTTTTCTTCTTCTTCAGGCTGATAGTAAGTTTATTTTCTTCATTTCTTTGAAGTTTGAAAAACTAGAAGTGTACTTCACAATCATGGAAAGTCAAGATTTTACTGATCAAAATTCTGATATTCCCATTGAGGGAAATACAGACCCCAGCAACAAGGTAATCCTCTCTGAATCCTTACTTAGCTTTTCTCAAGTTAATAAGGACTAATGAGAAGGAAAGATGGAAAATGATTGAATTACACATTGAATTATTTTTGAACGTGAAGTGCTTCTAATGCCTATAAAACTTTGAGAATTGGATTTGCTTAGAGATGAAGTTACATGGATGTTACAGAAAGATGAACAGCCAGAGCAGAAAATTCAAAGAGATGGATATTTGGACAAGCAAAAGGACATTGATGATTGGCTTCCAATTACATCTTCAAGGAATGCAAAATGGTGGTACGCAGCTTTCCACAACGTCACCGCCATGGTTGGAGCCGGTGTCCTAAGTCTTCCTTTCGCAATGTCGCATCTAAGATGGTAAGCTACGACTAGAAATCAATTTTAGTATTTTCTACTCTCACTTTTCTTAAATTTTCACAATTCAAAAAGGTTTCCTATTTTCTCCTTTTAATTTTAGGGGTCCTGGAGTAGTCATATTGATACTATCATGGGTGATCACTCTCTTCACTTTATGGCAAATGGTTGAGATGCATGAAATGGTGCCGGGGAAACGGTTCGACAGGTACCATGAGCTGGGACAACACGCTTTCGGCGAAAAGCTTGGCCTGTGGATTGTGGTGCCTCAACAGCTAATTTGTGAAGTTGGTGTGGATATTGTCTATATGGTTACTGGTGGAAAATCTCTTCAGAAGGTTTACAACACAGCATGTGAAGGCTGTGACGGGATCAGCCTCACCTTGTTCATTCTAATCTTTGCTTCTCCTCATTTTGTACTCGCCCACCTCCCCAACTTTAACTCCATCTCCGGCGTCTCTTTAGCCGCCGCAGTGATGTCTCTGAGGTACTCCATAACATATCTATCAACTCTCCCATTCATGGCGTGTAATTCAGAGGAAAAGTATTTTAAGGACATGTTTCGCATAGCCTTTTAGAAGGCTGCGTGTAACTTAATGAACTAAAAGTTACTTTTAGAGCCTGTTTTGGACGAAAAATTCTAAAAGCTGTTAGAAACTAGAAATTTTTCCTTTTCTTTTCTTAGTAAAAGCACAAGCAAAAAATTAAACAGGAAACAAAAAAACAAGAGGTTTTTTTTTAAAGGAAAAGGAGAGAGAGATTGAATCCAATTAAATGCAATACTATTGGTGTGATTATGTTTGCAGTTATTCTACCATAGCATGGACGGCTTCCGTCCACAAAGGTGTTCTGAAAGACGTTTCTTATGGCAACAGAGCGTCGAGCGATGTAGGAGCAGTCTTTAACTTCTTCACTGCCTTGGGAGACGTAGCTTTTGCCTATGCAGGGCATAACGTGGTGTTGGAGATTCAGGCAACAATTCCGTCCACACCAGAGAAGCCATCCAAAGGTCCCATGTGGAGAGGAGTGCTAATCGCCTATTTAGTCGTGGCCTTGTGTTATTTCCCTGTCGCGCTCGCCGGCTATTACGTTTTTGGTGACAAAGTTGAAGACAACATCTTGATTTCCTTAGAGAAACCGAAATGGCTTATCATAGCAGCCAACATGTTTGTTGTCGTCCATGTCATTGGAAGCTATCAGGTAAGCCTTTCAGTTCTCTTTCTAATAGAAAATATGAAATGAGGCTCTTCAAATGTTGCCTTTCTGTGTGTTTGCAAGTTTTATTTGGTTTCCTCTGTTTCTTTTAGATATATGCAATGCCAGTGTTTGACATGATCGAAACGGTGTCGGTGAAGAAGCTGCGTTTCAAACCCACTTGGTACCTTCGTTTCATTACAAGGAATCTATACGTTGGTGTGTACAAGTACATATATATATATATATATATATATATATATATATATATAATTTACCAACTTTTCTTGAACTATTTTATGGAGTTGCAATTAAGTCAATTTTATAACTCGTGATCTCGTATTTCAGGCTTCACTTTTTTTATTGCAATTACCTTTCCTTTCTTCGGTGGTCTACTGGGATTCTTCGGAGGATTTGCTTTCTCCCCAACAACATACTTCGTAAGCCCAACCTATTCCTTCTTAAAGTGAGGCTTAACTGACATAAAAACTGTGGTTTCTGCTCATCAAATTATAACAGATTCAATCAGACTAAATAATTATAACAATAATAAGGCAATCTTTGTGGTAAGAATAGCTTTTTTACCCGACTAATAGGTATTGTTATTTTAACCGTTTGATTAATTTTTTAACAGCCAAGTGTCCATGTTAAAAATTTAAGACACATCGGCGAAAAACTACTTCCAGTTGCAGATTTGGCTATTAAAATGTCTAATGGTTTAAATAACAATATCTACCGATAGGGTAAAAAAACCTTCCCTACCATAATATTGCCCAATAATAAATTCTAGTGACGAAACTTGATTAAAAGCTAATCTGAAATCAGTATAGTTATTTTCATACCCGGAAATTCACAGGCATATTAATGAAGTCTATGTGTTGTTTGGTTGGGGGATTGGATTCGTACCCCGATTCGAATCATGGTTTGTGATTCGCTACAGTATTTTCTCTCACAAAAAATACACATAAATCGAAAATAGTTCTAATCTCATGATTTTAATGCATGAACCAAACGTCTCCTAAAAGATTGGATGCTAATTTCTTCCTTCTATTCATTTTTCAGCTCCCTTGCATTATGTGGCTTGCCATCTACAAACCAAAAACGTGTAGCTTGTCTTGGTGTGTCAACTGGGTAAGTTCCAGATTGAAGAAACTTTTTTTCCTAATGATAAAATTATTATACAAGTAGAAACAAAAAGTTTTTTATGTGAAACTTTTGGCATGCTCAATTTCAGATATGCATCATACTGGGGCTTCTGCTGATGATTCTATCACCTATTGGAGGGTTGAGATCGATCATACTACAGGCTAAGAACTACGAATTTTACTCTTAGGGAAATGGAATTCACATACAAGTCAAATTTGAACCATTTTCTATCTCCTCTTGACAAAAAGTCATGTACCAACAGAATAGGACTGCTCTCCTGTGGGGGTATCATGTTGAATGTTGTTTGCATATTGCATATATTTCCAAAGGGTGCATCAATATCATAAATTGTCTTTTCTATGTGAATCATACTAGTATGACTTTTTACACAAAATGTTGGAGCTAGATAAATTGCGCGTTTTAAATAATGGGGTGCAAATAGCATGAAAAGGGAACTTGGCTCTTGCTTTATCGTCACTCCAACCGAACAATTACATATAATGATGTATATACACACATAAGAATTGAGATGAAAAGGGAAAAAATGAAACGAATTGGTAAAGCAAAGCAGCTTTCTTTCAGAGAAAATTATCCGGTTTAATTATGCCAGAACAAAAAGCTACTTGCAAGTGCAAATTGATGCATAAAAATCGACTAATCTGAATTTCTAATCTAAACCCACCACCCATATTAGTCTAATCTCTAATTAGCAATGGGAATTAATTAATGTATAAAAATAACAACAATTAAATCAAAAAACAGAACTCAAAAGTGAAAAAAGGCAAAATATTTATATATGTCTTCTCCAACTAGCTAATTTTCTTCACCAATTTTCCAATTCTTTCTCTGTACAACTCAATCCAAAGATTGGTAATCCAAAGAATGCTTACAGAAATCGCCGTCAAAACGACAACAATCCAGGAAACCCAGACCCACCTGGGGATGACGGCGTCGGCGGCTCCGCTGAGGTAAAACGCCGCCATCCGGTAGACGAAATAGGGGCCAGCGAAGCCACGGACGAGTGAGTAAAGCGCGTAGAAGGGCGGGGAGAGGAAATCGTAGAGCCTGGCGGCGAAGACGACGTCGTTCCTGCGGGCGGCGGAGAGGGTCCAGGCGTTCTGGCAGAAGCTGGTGACTTCGGCGAGGATGAGGAGGGAGAGGACGGCGGAGGCGCCGTGGGAGACGACGTGGCGGCAGGTGAGGAAGACGAAGAGGGTGGCGAGGTGGTGGCCGATGAAGAGCACGTCTGAGGGGAAGAACACGAGGTAGTGGACGAGGTCGGTGAGGAAGTAGGCCACGCTGTAGTCAAGTACGAGGTTCTGGAAGGCCGTGTTTGGGGAGGCGAACCTGCGCCGGGCCGTCGGGTCGAGGATGATGGCCCGGGCGGCGAGGAACACGGCGGGAGTGCCGTGGGCCAGGGAGATCAAACAGCTCGAGGCTTCGGGTCGGGTCTTGGGGCTCCAGTTCCGGAAGACGACGAATCGGGCCAGGAGGTAGATGAATACGAACATGCAGAGGAAGAGGGGAAGATGATGATGATGATGATGATGTTCGGTTTCCATTGAATGAAACCCCCTTTGCGAGGAATTGGGGGTTTTCTTTTTTTTTTTTCCTTTTTTTTCTTTTTTTTTTTTTGCTCCGAAGGAGGTGAAGAATAGATCTGACAAATTGAGAGTTTCGAGATAGTGCTCTGATCAATATGAACCAGACGATGGTTCGAACTTTGATAGAACGAGACAGAGCTGGAGTGGAGTGGATTTTAATGGGCCTTTTATTTTTGGTTCAACTAACCTACCGTACTACACAATGGCCCACTATTCTTGGTTGTTTGAGAATTGAGATGTGTGTTTTCTATGTCCCACCCAAAGAATTTAATGGGCTCTTTCCTCACCTACACAACAACTACATTCAGCTACCATTTAAAACAAATGAAAACAAAAAAACAAAAAAAAAAAGAATTTACTATATGACTTTTACCCAATCTTCACCCATATAATTTCAAAAAATATTTGTTAATATTACTTGAGGGTAGCAATTCGTGTTAGATATTGTGTTCATGTCGTGTTTTAATCGTTTCTTTTTAAATTTGCAGTCAACCTGAACACGATCTGTGACACGAAATTTTTTAAAAATCGAAACATGAACACGACACGGTCACTTTACGGGTTGACACAACACGACACAAAAATGACCCGTGAACCCAAAATTGATACAAAAATTATATACTTTTAGTTTTTTACATATTAGAAATAACTTAAAATTCATAACACATTAAAATAGAATAACATGTATTGAAATTAAGTTCATAATAAAATCATAAATATGTAATGAAAAATATATGTATTTTTTAGTTTTTTACGAGTTTCGTATCGTGTTCGGGTTAGGCAAGTCCAACCTGAAATTGACCCGTGTTTTTCGTGTCAATTTCATGTCGACTCAATTCTGACCCAAACCTCTTTTTTCTCAACCACCTATGAAATTCGTGTCGTTTTCGAGTCGTGTTGTCATGTCGTAACCTATATTGCGGACCCTAATATTACCCTTTACAAATTGCAGCAGATGGACTACTTTGTTAACAAAATTAATTTATTAAAAAAATCATAGAATGCCACTAAAATCCAACAGTTTTATATTTATGCCATATAGTCTATCATTTTTTTTATTGAGTAGGATGTTTTTAATATTCCGTCAGGATATGCTCCGGTGAATTGAGTAGTATAGACGTTAATCATTAGGTGTTATAAATGCAAAAATGACGTTCTTTCAAGTGGTATTTTCGTATTTCTCTCGATAAAAGAAACTACAACAAACGGTCGGTCTAATACTATTTAGAAAAACATTTTGGCTGTGTTTGGAATTGATCTCGTTTTTATTTTTTACGTTTTTTGAGAAAAAAATGAAAACGTTTCCAAAACGACGTTTGATGCAATAAAGACAAAAAATGAAAATGAAAAATAGAATAACATGTATTGAAATTAAGTTCATAATAAAATCATAAATATGTAATGAAAAATATATGTATTTTTTAGTTTTTTACGAGTTGCGTATCGTGTTCGGGTTAGGCAAGTCCAACCCGAAATTGACCCGTGTTTTTCGTGTCAATTTCATGTCGACTCAATTCTGACCCAAACCTCTTTTTTCTCAACCACCTGTGAAATTCGTGTCGTTTTTTAGTCGTGTTGTCATGTCGTAACCTATATTGCGGACCCTAATATTACCCTTTACAAATTGCAGCAGATGGACTACTTTGTTAACAAAATTAATTTATTAAAAAAATCATAGAATGCCACTAAAATCCAACAGTTTTATATTTATGCCATATAGTCTATCATTTTTTTTATTGAGTAGGATGTTTTTAATATTCCGTCAGGATATGCTCCGGTGAATTGAGTAGTATAGACGTTAATCATTAGGTGTTATAAATGCAAAAATGACGTTCTTTCAAGTGGTATTTTCGTATTTCTCTCGATAAAAGAAACTACAACAAACGGTCGGTCTAATACTATTTAGAAAAACATTTTGGCTGTGCTTAAAATTGATCCCGTTTTTATTTTTTACGTTTTTTGAGAAAAAAATGAAAACGTTTTCAAAACGACGTTTGATGCAATAAAGACAAAAAATGAAAATGAAAATAATTTTTTAGTTTAATGTAAAATGAGAGAGAAATGAAAAATGATTTTTAGTCGTTTTTCATTTTTTATTTTAGTTTTCTTCTCTCTCGAGTAGAGAGAGAGAAAGGGAGACATTAATAGTTTTTTTACACTGAAAATAATCTCTTGATAAAACTACCAAACGCATTTTTAAAAATAATTTTTATCTCAGATTAAAAATATTTTCATTTTCATTTTCATACAAAAAAATAAAATTATTTTAAAACGAATTCCAAACTCACCTTTTGTAGCTTGAATCATGACCTACTGTCCACATAAAATGGGACCCACCGAGAAATTAGGTTCTTTGGAAAATGAAAAAGAAAAAAAAAAAAAAAAAAAAAAAAAAAAAAAAAAGAAAGATTTTTCCTCTCTTTGACATTCTCGGCTGGCTTTCCCTTCCTCCTGATATGGTTTTGCTCTACATATCTACTAGGAAAAAAATGAAAATCAATTGTTAAAAATAAAAAATAAAATAAATTGAGATAGTAGTTATTAGGGATGGCAACGGGCGGGGTGAGATATGATTTTCAGTCTACATTTGCGCCCTTTAAAGCGATCCTCATTATCGTTTCAATTTCCGCTTAAAAAGAGACAAGTTCAGAGTCGGTAATTCTCTGTTAGAGAAATTTTTTTCATACTTGTCCATTCTCCATCTAATGTAATTATACATTTTAAAGTTATAACTAGTGTAAATTTAAATTAAAAACAAATTAGATTATAAAGAACAAAGCATATACAAATCAAACTTAGTAATAATGTCGACAAAAACATTAATTTTGTTTGAAAATTTATTTATCTAAAATTTATAATATATGTATCGATGTAAAGACATGATAAGAAATACTTCTTTTATCATCGTCCTATCATAACTCGAGGATAAGATTTTGTCTCCATCTCTATCATGATCATGGCTGATTCCCATCTCGTGGGGATTATTGCCATCTATAGCAGTTATGCGAATTATTTTATTTTTGGAATCTAAAGAATCCAAATCTTGACTATTTCAAAAACGGTATCCGAAGTCTTACAAGAGGAGTGTTATTTTTTTTTTCTTCTGTATTTCAAGTTTTAGGAGGTTTATTTTATGAAAAACTCACCTGCGCACCTTGTCAACTCCGCCTGATTGGAACAGATCTCACCAGCAAGATATGAAATCTCCAACGTTAGTGTCGAACAGAAAGAGAGAGAAATATAAAGAAGCCATGTGGAATATGAGCAAGAACAGAGGTATAAAGATACGAGTGGGGCTGCCGCCCCAACTGGATTTTTGAAAAATACAATTTAAACCCTTGAAAATTCTTAATTCTTCTTTCGTTTTAGCCCCACCAAAATTTAAAGTTTTCACATTTGCTCCCACTAAACTTGACCTTTTTACAATTTATTTCTATATTTATTTTATAAACAACTTTACTCTTTTCATAAATGTTACTAATGAGCTGATGCTTTCTATGATATTTTTTTATGCCCTACATTTTGAGGTTAACAAATTATACGTTATATTTTGAATTGTATTACATTTACATTTACACTTTTATTTTTTAAATTATTGTTAGATCTATACTTTTTTTTTTATCAAAAGTTGATTTTGATTAGAAAGAAATACAAAAATATCTTTTCACATTTTATAATTTTTCTTTGTATTGTATTCTCTACATATAGGTATTTTTTAGTTAAAATTGATCAATACTTAGCAAAGGTACGAATTAAGCATAAATTCATTCCCTCCTAAAAAAAATTTAGGGCTTGTTCTTTTGAGTGAAAAACTCAAAAAAATGCAACTCGAGTTACAACTTTATTCGAGTTCATGTTCTTTTAAGTTTAAACTCGAGTTTAAACTTGAGTTCAAACTCGAGTTTAGGACTAAAACTCGAGTTCAAGTTTCCCCTTAACTCGAGTTCAGAAACTCGAACTCAAATTAATGAACATTATTTTTTCTATTCTTAAAAATGCTATAACTTTTTCGGTTTAATTCTGATTGAGATGATTTTTTTTTCTATGCGTTGACAACGAAAAGACGAATAAAACCCGACCCATATACCATATTAAAATTTTTCATCAGCATTGAGTTTTTATTAAAATATTATCTAAATACAAATTCAAGTTTTGACTCACTCAAACACAAACTCAAAAAGATTCTTATCTCAAATCATAACTTAATGTATGAGTGATCATGGTTAAGTTATCGTGCACAACATCTATTACCGTTCACTTCACCAATTTAAGTTTAGAATTCGAGTTTTGCTACAGTAAAAAGCTCTCACAAACAATCACATCTAACTTTTTTGCTACAGTAAAAAGCTCTCACATAAAATCACATCTCAACTCGAATTACAAACTCAAATCAGCGAAGTGAACGGACCCGTATACGCCACGCCCTTACTAGAACTTAAGCCTGGCTCCGTCACTGGATATGAGACGTGTGGCATATAATGAAAGAAGGCACGTGGATCGTAGGAAAAGACGATTTGGGCTATATAGCAATCCTCTAATATTTGTTGCCAATAGTCTTTTTTTTATTAAAAAAAAAAAATGGAAAATGGAAAAATTGCCCAAGACAGTGTAGCATCTTTCGTTTCATTGCATCAGTGTAAATGGAAAAATTGTTCAAGTTTAATATCTAACTAATCTAATGGATGAAAATCTCACACTCATTTTTATGATTTCATGGATACTATGATTTATAATTTGATAGGTCCTCGAGTAATCTGAAACCGCAGTTTTAAACCATCCTAAACCCGAACAGTTTGGGTTCAAAGTTGGTTTGGAATTTTTCGAACCGTAAAAAAACAGTAATTTTGATTCAAAATGCTTCAACCACACAGCTTTCATCTCTACGTTTAGTTAAGTCAAATTATATATCGTGTGGATAAATATATACATATATATATTATATATCGTATGCATAATTTATTATATATATACATATAGATATGTATGATAGGAATGATTTGTTAATTTAAATTTAAATAGTTTGTATTTAGTTTATCCTTAGGATTTAGAGATAGATTAGTATTATTTTTTAGTTTAAATTTTAAATTATTAGTTATTAAGAGATAAGTCCTTAGTTTAAATTATTTGAATAAGATTACTGTTCTCATTGATAAAAAAAAATAAAAAATAAAAAAAAAAAAAAAAACTTGTACCATCGTGCTTCAAAGTTTAAATCTATTATGGTATCATAATTTTATACACAGTCTCTAATCCTCTTAAAATTATCTTAGACAATGTGCCTTCATTTACCCTTCCATATCTCAGGCAATGCGCCTCCAATCCTCAGGTTATGCGCTTCCAATCCCTAGGTAATGCGCCTCTAATCCCTAAACAATGCGCCTCTAATCTCTAGGCAATGTGCCTCCAAACTTAAGCATTGTGCCTCCATTCTCCAGGCAATGCTCCTCCAACAGTCCTCATGTGCTCTCGTCCTTCTCTGCACTCATCATGTGCCTTCTCCGTGCCTCTGCGCCCTCTTCTCCCTCCTGACAATCGTCGTCTCTACGCCTAAGAGCGTCCCATCTTCTCCTTCCTGATAATTGTCGTCTCAGCGCCCATGCGCCCTCCCCTCTCCTCTCCTCGATGTTTGTCGTCGATGCAGCCACACCTAAACCCTGTCACTCATGTCAATTTCTTCTATCACGGTTCAAGATTGGATTCTCCTATCGGAACTCTATCTTGCGGGGGCATGATAAGAATGGTTTGTTAATTTAAATTTAAATAGTTCGTATTTAGTTTATCCTTAGAATTTAGAGATAGATTAGTGATTATCCTTTAGTTTGGATTTTGAATTATTAGTTATTAGGAGATAAGTCCTTAGTTTAAATTATTTGAATAAGATTAGGATTCTCTTTAGTCATGTATAAATATTCTAAATCTATTTATATATATATATATATATATATCTGATATTAATAAGGTCATATATATATATATATAGACTCGTTTTTGAATTGCTTTCATGAAGACCTGAAAAAAACTTGAAACACTTCAATAAAGTAGTCCTCAGAGAGAGAGAGATACATGAGCTACAGTATATAATATTGATATGGTATATTTCCAATAGGATATTTTGACATATAAACAAGACTCATGTTGTCAACAGGTTGTTACAACTTGCATAGAGTAACCAATGCGCGTTACCGTTAAGATGCAGTACTTGTTTTACACTGCAGCCATATTGATTGAAAACTTCCAACTTTCGCAGGCCAAGTTTATTGATATTCGTTTGCACAAACTTGGTAATTTCAAGCCTGATGTATTCTGCTTGATCTGGTTGTACGCATTCACGATCCAGCTAGATACTTCAAATGCATTACTTATTATATATAGATATAAATATATAAATATATATATATATACACTTACAAGACTCTTGATGAAGTAGTACTGCTCCTCCATATCCTCATATTCCAGTCTTTCTCTTAGAGAAAACCTTGTAAAAACATGAAATAATGAATTAGCAACAGTCTACTAACATGAACAACAACAACAATATAACATAAGAGACGGCTGATATTCACTATAAAAAAAATAACTTTTAGTCACCGTATCTCCTCGTAACATCCTTAGTCACAACATTTTTGTGTCATCTTTTATTCACAAGGTTGCATTTAGTCATAAGTTTATGTTGTGATCACAAAAACTTTTTGTTACGAGCTTTTTAAGAATACAAGAGACGGCTAATGTTTTATTATTAAGATCTAATAGAATCAAAGTAGGCATAAGAATAAGAGGTAGTGTAATTTTAAAATCTTTCGACACAAATTAAATGATACAAAAATCCGAAGAATCTACGAAGAGAGTATTTTATTAACTCCATTCCTAAAATTAAAATAAATTCAGGATAAAGTTAATTTCGATTTTAATCAATATACTATCAAGCGGATAATGCGTTTGGTAGTTTAGGTTCACAATATATATATATATATATATTATAACTTGGTTTTATAGTGTGGTCCAACGATTTATTCAAATAATAATAATATATTAGTACTACAAATGAATCTTCCACGTGTACGTATAGTAAAGTATTATGCATACTTTTCAGTGATATGAAATGTCCCTGTCCTACGTGATCTTTTCCCTGCAATGATTAAGATGTATATGATCACAAAATATAAGCAAAAATCTACTGTTCCAGGTTCCCTACAACGCTATTATATTCTACTTTTTCCTATGTATATTGCATTTCTTTGTTAATGTCAATACCTGATGCTACAGTTGAACTGATCAAGAAGCTAGATTATGATCCAAGGTAAAGCAAAAAGATAACGGTAATGAGAATTTTGAATTAAGAACCATAAATATACTGTTGGAAAAATGATCAGAAATTCCACTATGCTATGCATATCAGCAAATCAAATCTCAAAGACGAAGTGCGTGTGTCAGCTTAAAAAAATAAGGAAATTATGTGTATAAATCCAATCGAGATAAGATAGAATCTGAGAAAATTTGATTCACTTGATAAATAGTATTAAGTTATAGCTAGCAGCTAATTTTTGGCATGATAGGAAACAAATCTTACTAAAAAGTGTCAAATTTTTATTCAAACAAAAGTGTCAACTTTTGTTCAATCCTAATGTCATGATAGATTCTTCTAAGTTCATCCATACATAAATCAAAATTCAATCGAGTTTTATGCAATTGATACTTCTATTTAGAAAAATTAGGATAGTAGAGATTTAGTTATGAGTAATAAAAACAAAGATCCACTACAACAATAAATCTAATAGACAACAGTAGCTAAGAGCAAAAAGACTACAGAGTATAATAAAAACTGTTGTTAATCACTTCAAGTAAAGTAATTTTTTTAGACCACGGTTAAGAAAATTTTATTAAGTGTTGTCTTTGTGTGGTGTGGTCTTTCTATTTTATTTTATTTTTCTTTTTTTTTTTGTATTTTATTGTCGTTTCTTTTATTTGTTTTTTATTGTTGTCATTATATTTTACTTTTAAACAAGGGTTGAATAGATAACAGGTGAAAAGGTAGTTAGATCTATGCAAGATAGTAGTGATGATATCATTTTACATATACAATAATAAGTTGAATCAAACAGAAAAAATTAAAGTACTTGTTGGAGAGTTCACATATATAGGTTTGTTTCACCTCATCGAACCTAGCCACCATCACACGTGTATTTTTGTCAATTAGGGTATGAGGAGTTTGTAGTGTCGACACTGCATTTTATGAATTGAACTCTATTTGACTTGGCCTTTCTGAAATTATGAGGTAATTTAGACATTATTTTAACACACTTTTTCAGTAATTATTTACACACATTTAATAGAGATGTCAAACTCTCGACAACCTGCTAAATCGAATTTAATTTTATTCCTCATACACACGAATAGTTATATTTTTAGCTAGCTCAACATAACTACCAAAGCACTTTCTTTCTCTTTTTTTTTTGGGGGCTTATCCCATAACTATCCAAGGTTAAAAGATGTAAACAACTATAATGCACTATGAATATAAACTACATGAATCTTTTAATTAAATAAGACCAACAGAGTTTTACTTTAGATTAGGGTTGAACATTACTACTCAAGCTTAAAGAATTCCAATATATAGAAAGAAACTTAGTATTTATGTTCTACTCCAAAGTGAATTATATATTTTGAATTTTTAATTAGTCCAACAAAATATAAAACTCCCTACTTAAATGTGAGACATAACAAGCCTAAAATGGTGACAAGAAGTGGAAAGAACTTGCTACATTTTCTCCATGTGCAAAAGCATGCCCGTACTGTCTTTCCTATGGAGCGGGAATCTAAAATGGAGAACTGTCTAGTTGAAAAAAAGGTAAAATAAGGCCTCGTTCATTTAACCGATTCAAATTTAGAATTCGACTTTTACTACAGTACAGAAATAATCACATCTAACTTTTTTACTACAATAAAAAACTATCATATAAAGTCTCAACGAACTAAACGGACCTTAAAACTAGAACTAAAACTCATAAAATAAAAAGCTAGCTAGTCGAAAAGAACCAAAAAAAAATCCCATCCTAAAACTTTTGTTTCCTAGTCACATGCTAGCAGTTCTTTAATTGCCATTTGGTATTGAAGGCTCCTGCTAAACGACAACACACTATTTAATTGGTAGTTTCATTAATTGCTAGCTTGCCACCAACTGGCTTACTGTTCCATGCATGTGTGATTGCAACATCACTCCTGCAGTCATGTTGATCAACTTCATAAACTAGTTTACTTCCAATTAGTGTAATTCTCATTCTATAAGAATATTAGATTCTGACACAGACTACTGATAGTATTTATTTTCTTATTTCTTTAATTTACTCAAGTTTTGATTTAACTTTTTAGGCTCGTTTTTTTACTTGCTTATCTTATTAATGACGTGTGTTTTATCATGTCTATAGAGAAAGAAACTAAAAACCCCTTCGACTATAAATGCCATTGGTTTTGGGATGAACCAGTTTGTACGGCAAGCCATATGGTCTAAAGAAGGCGCCAGATGGACATCCAAAATTATTTTGGATAGACTGACAAAATGAGCCACCCACATTATCTTTTTGTTACATCCTTATAAGTACGTACCTGCCAAAGAAAAACAGTACTCCACTAGTATTAATCCATGGCTGAATTATGCAGAAAAAGTACTACAGTAATTGTACCAAAACATGATAATACATTACATGTAACATTACAAACTATATATACTTGCAATAGTTGTAGAATATGTGCATTATAAATTTTTAGTTTATAACTTCTTCTTTGTGCTTTCGCTTCTACCAATAAAACCGCGAGGACGTGACAGCTAAAAGCAATTACTTTCACTCTTATCCGACACAGGTTGAATTAGCAAGCACGGTTCCTAGCTTATATATATCTATTATCCGCAAACGAGATCACTGCTTACTCACATTCCCATTATCTATATATATATATATATATATTCATACGCATATGATTATTATAACGCATTATGTGATTCAAATCTATCTAAAGGATTCCCGAGTAAAAGTACCGATTAGATTTGATTGGATGGCAACAAAACCCGAATTTGTGCGAAGTGTCATGGATGGTTTATCAACCAATTACCTAAGCTTAATCAACTTATATGTCTATATATAATAAGTGATACCTTATAGATATATTCACATATATATATACGGTATACCTGAAGTCTTTCATTGTTGCTAAACTTGCACTTAAATCATTGGTAAATATCAACGGCCCAAAGTGAGGGCAGCTTCAACGTCTAGCCTCCATGCAAATCCTCCACCGTCCATTCTCCACAGATCACACGGCACAATCCGCGAGTACCTCTCCATCCCCATCCCATACTGAAGCTTTACGTGCCCAGTGAAAGCAGAATAAAGCGACGGGAAACTCTCTTTAATTTCCAACCCTACCACTACCTCCGGCTCCGGTGACGGACCGTCATTTCTCCTCGCCGTCACCATCCCCTTGAAAGCCCCATTCACCCACATCACGCTGTTCGAGCCGTCCGATACAAACCCCGGACACGTGTCCCTCTCCAGATTCATCACCCTCTCCACGTCCGTACACCCCAACCCAGCTTGCAGTTGTCCGTTGTCAATGCATGTGCCTGTGACGCACTCCACCGTCACCCAAGACTGCACCACGAAAACCCGATCTGACATTCTAGTACCTTCACTCTCTCGTTTATCGCTGATCCAACACGTGGGTAGGCCCCGATTCTCCTGCAAATAACAACTTTCTTTCACAACACTACTACTACCACCATTACTAAGATCTATCTCGATCGGACGGTTCAGATCGCTTCTCTCAGGCAAGAGTTGTAGCGTCGTCGAAGAATGATCATGATGATCAAAACTCTCGTTCCTAGGTTTTACTGATGTGGGTTTCCTTCTCGTGTATTTACGAACCCTAACGTAGTTTCTCTTCCTTCTTCCTTTGGGAAGAATAGTAAGGTTGTTACTCTTGTTGTTGTTGTCCGAGGACAATCCACCGGAGACATCGGGACACGTGGCGGGTTTCGGAGCTATCGGCCGGAATCTGAGCATCATCCGATTAAAAACCGATTTATCCTGCGCATGGCCACCGGCGCACGGTCTTATCATGCGCCAGTACTCTTGATCCGATGATCCGACACCGCTCATTTCCTGATGATCTCCAACAAAAACCGGAACCAGCTAAAGCTAAACGGCCATCAAAACCATCTTTCTCTTTCTCTCTCTTGTCTGAATGAAGCTGAGAAGTCTCTTTCTTTTGTTAAGCGATAATCATAGCGACGAGGGCTTTGAGAGGAACACGTGGCTAGGGACAACCCATAAAACAGTGATTGGACCACGATTGGTTTACCTTTTTTTTTTTTTGAGAGAGCGGGGATGGAATCCGGCGTAATTGAGCGCAGAGGTTGGTCCCACATGCTGGCCAATGGGAGACGAGAAGGTGTCCAGCACTGCCGAAAGGAGAGGGACACGTGGGATGCCCTCGGACGTAGCGTAGTGGAAAGGGCCCTTTCGAGAGGTTCGAGAGAAAACACACGTGGTTTTATGCTATTAGAAGTGAACAACTCACTAGAAACATAACAGTGTCTGCCATAGCGCGTGAGAAGCACTATCGTATAAGAACACGACACATATGTAAGAATCTGAAGCAAAGAGTACACGCGTTAGGGAGTGAGGGTAAAATAAGGTTTGTTCTTGAAATTCCTTTATCCGATTGGTGGATGTTAATTGAGGACGCGTGGTTGGTCTATCACTGGGTGGATCTGGAGCTAGATTTTTTACGTCATCAGGGAAAGGGACGGTTTTATTTCTCCTTATTTTCTAATTTCTAGTTTTCCCAAATAGGTGGTCTCCCGCTGCCACGTCACATGATGTTATCCATTTTTTTCTTTGCCAAAAATGACTGCCTACCTACCAAGACCAAGAGTTTTGGCTTTTTCTTGTTCCTGCCGGTTACAGCTACAACTCTTGGAGTAAATACATTGGCTGAGTCATTCTTAACCATTAAGCGCTATCATTACAAAAGCTAAACAAAATTTTTTTGAAGATAATTTATTGCATGTAATGAAGGATACAAATAGATTCATTCTGGAAAAGACAGACAAGATAAACTGTAGATATTATAATATAAAGTGCCAGGAGACTAATTAATATTTATTTAATTAAATTAGATATTATATTAATTAAAAGAGTATTAATTAAGAATAAGGGGGTAAAAAGTTACATCAATACACTTTTAAGGATAGTTCTTTAATTTTCTCAATAAAATTAATCCTGGATTAAATTGGACCAAGTTGATTGGTTACTCGAGCTCAAGGTCAAGAAAGATGAACTCTGATTGAAATAGACGTTTCTTTGACTTTTGTTTCAGTATAACTCAACGTTATCTTCATACATGGTCAAAACTAATCTATCACTGCTTAAAAGCTAAAGGGTAATTTTATATCCATACACTATAAGGGTGACTGACCAATGGTATATATTTTAGCAACAAAAAAAAAAAAAAAAAAACAATGGTATATTATATACCAATTGATCAGCTGCATAAAAGGGCAAATTAAGCGTCTTCTTTTTCCTTTTATTTATCACTGCTTGTTATCTAGAAAGGCCGTAAATTATAAACAGAGGACATAAGGGGGGAAAATGCATTATTCTATGAACCGTTCCCCGTCTAAAGTTGCATATGCAATTGTACTAAAAGTTGAATGTTACGGACTTATTTTCCATTTTCCTGATTTTGATTTTTTTTTTTTTTGGTTTTAGTTGTTTTCATCTTCAATCAATCCTCAATTTTCTCATGTGCCTAAATGAAAATTGCACCTTTCACATGAACATTACTCCTCATTTTCTTATCAAATTTCGGCCTTTAAAGTGTGTATATCATGATGCTTCCTCCAAATGCACGCCTAATCATCTATCTTTTATTTTATTTTATTTTGTTTTGTTTAGTTTTTTCTCTATACCTAACCATGCATCTAGAATATTAATTATATATATATTAGGTGCGCGAATGCACGCCTAATCATCTATCTTTTATTTTATTTTATTTTGTTTTGTTTTGTTTAGTTTTTTCTCTATACCTAACCATGCATCTAGAATATTAATTATATATATATTAGGTGCGCCGCATTCAACTTTAGTGTTGATTAATTATTGACCAACATGGACTATATATTAGATTCCTGCTCAATATGCACATACACACATGGCAACATTAGAGCTAGAAGAACCTTAGAAGTTTTATTAATAATATTATTTTAGTTACAATAGAGGTATTTACTCTTTTACTCATGATCTTGAACTGGTTTAATCTTACCTCTCTCTTTCATTCTTTCCTAAAAACACACAATTATTTTATCACTTTTGGAAAAGTCTGGCCTTTGTCAAAAATAGAAAAGCACATTTTATAAGTCACAGCCCTACCATCTATACAAAAGTCATTTCTATGTGCCGGGAATTAGTAGTCATATCCTAGTTATTATAAATACCTCTTTGCCTTTAAAACACTCAGTATTGGGTCAGAATTCAGAAAACAAGAGTAATATCACACATATAATACTGACATATATACCTGATAATATCGTCGACCGCCATTATCAAAGTCCCAAACTGAGAGCAGCATTAACGTCCAGCCTCCATGCAAACCCACCACAATCCAATCTCCAAACATCACAAGGCATTATCTTCCAACATTTTTCCTTCATATTCCTCATATACTGTACCCTCGCACGACACGTGAACCCCGCTCCTTGCACACACCTTGTATAATAATAATAATTATTATTATCACTCGCCTTCGAAACCAGCCAAACCACCACCTCCGGCCACCGTCCGCCGCCGTTGACCTCTCGGTTGCTCTCCGCCACCATCCTTCTGTACGCCTCGTTCACCCACTCTACTCTGCTCAGAAAACCGTCTGATACGAACCCTGGACACGTGTCCCTCTCTAAGTTCTTGATTCTCTCCACGTCCGTACACCCTAGCCCTCGTACGTCCATGCACATGTCTGTCGCGAACTCCACCGTCACCCACGACTCCACCAACACTTTCTCAGATCTAGATGGGCCCACCACAGTCCGATCCGGTGCCTCTCCGGCTCCGTCGCTGCCGTTCGTTCTCGCCGGTGGGTCCCGACTTTCCAAAACCGAGATTTCCGATACTTTACGGTCGATAACGGACCAGGATCCTCCTCCCGGTGAACCGTAGCCGTCCGATTTCTCTGGCATCAGTTGAAGCGTCGCCGTTGCTTTACTGGTCGAGCCTAAACCCGAGTTTCTGTTCTTCTCGGAAGATCTGTTTCTTCTCCTAGGGCTATTATCGTCCTTTCGAACCCTAACGTACTTTCTCTTCACTCTTTTCCCCGGAGGCAAAACCCTGTGCTTCTCCGGCGAAATTCCTCCCGGAAAAGCTCCTCCAGTCGCCGGTTTCGGCGCGATCGGACGGAATCTGAGCGTCATAACCCGATTCATTATCATCTTCTGCGAGCTCTGATGACAGCTCGCCATGTGCCACCCATCTCCACCGTCCATCAAATCACCTCCTTTCGTCTTACTTTCCCGTCGGCAGTCTCCTCCTCCTCCCCCTCCCTTCTCTCTCTCTCTCTCTCTCTCTCTCTCTCTCTCTTTCTCTCTCTCTCTATCTCTTCCCTACCCGGAGAGCGATAATCATAGCGGGAGCGCGGTGGCTTGGTGTGAGGTCACCACGTGTCTAGGGCAACACTGAGACAGTGTTCTATCCTGATTGGTTAAATTTCATATTTAATTGGGTCCCACCCAAAAGCTTTTTGCGTATCTAGATTATGAATCGAGTCTGTTAACTGGGCCCACACCCAACCAATCAGTTACGCCATGGTGTCCACCACTCCTGGAAAAGAGGGACACGTGGGCTTGTAGCAGGACGAAGCATAATTTCCCTCCAACCGAAGTGGAAGAAAAGGCCGTTCGAGAATATGCACACGTGTTGCGATACTATTTGCCCGTAACATGTATATTGGGTTGGAAAGGGATTGGACGATGTTGCAAAGGTTGCGGCGCGTGTTCTTCACGCTGAGATATTTGTTAAACGTTGCGACTTGATTGGTGAAGTGAAGCGTATTCGCGAGAGTGAGAGTGGGGAAGTGAATTAGTTTTTTTTCCTCTTTTTTTTTTTTTTTTTTGCTGGTATGGATGGGCAAATCGACGCGTGGATCTGTGACTAGGGGGATATCGACAGACAAACCGAAATTTGCTTTATTACTTTTTCGTTCGACGTTTTATGACTTCGGCCACTTAAATTGCAACGTACGTCTTAAACATATGAATTTCTTAAATTAAAAATAAAAAGACACTAATGGCCGATGGTCTGCACTACTGGTCGGGTAAAAGTAAAACTGCGTAATAATTGAAAAAATGAGTAAAACTTTATGCCAAGTTGTAGGATAAGATCAATCTCACCATGCCCCTCAATTCTAAGGTTCTTGTAATTTATTCCTTAAAATTTAAAAACTCTCATTTCTCTCTAAAATTTTGAATTAACACCATTTTACTCCATATGCTTGAATTTTTTTTCGTTAAAAATAGACTGAAAACGGAAGGAATTAAGTGTAATCAAGTAATATGTTCTCCTTGTTTTTAATATAAATTCTAAGAAAAATACTATGTGACTATACTACTCTAGTTTTTAATATGTTTTAAATATAAATTCTAGCATAAAAGATTTAGCAGAATTAATTCAAATTTCATGCGCAAAGTGATAGTTTTTAAAGTCTTGGGGTAAAATAAAAATGACTCTAAAGTTCTGAGGACTCAAGAGAGAACAATCCTTAGACCATCTCCAACGCAAATAATAATGCTAATTGTATATTTACCATCAAAAAGTGTAATATAGTATGTTATTTTCATTTTATTCCAATTTAAAATGCTATTTAAAATGTTAAATCTACTATTTTTTATAATTATTAAGCTGTGAAAGTTGTAAGAGTAAACTTTTATGTTTAAAATAATTATAAAATACAAAAGTTGTAATGATTACATAAAAAAATAAATATTTCAACTAATAGTAATTAAATGTCAAATTTTCTATATGCTATACTTGGTGGGATATTTGTCGCAAAGTATAACATATGAGAAATTTAATATAATAAATAGTATTGCATTAGAGAGTGTTTTTTGCACTCAAATGCTATATTTGCAATTAACACATCTAACTATTATAGTATTATATTGGAGATACTCTTATATGATATAAAAGAATACGGTTTTGTATAAGATTTTTTATCATACTTTTTCTGTAACATATAGCAGTGACAAGTGGCATATAAATTGAATGTAACACTAATGTTGCAAAAGATCTAACACCAAAAAATTTAGCTATGCCAAACTAGTGCAACATTTTTTCAAAACTAATGCTACATTGAATAAATATCATTTTGCAGCATTTCACACTTTAAAAAAAAAAAATAGACTGAAAACGGAAGGAATTAAGTGTAATAAAGTAATATGTTATCTTTGTTTTTAATAGAAATTCTAAGAGAAATATCACATGATTATACTACTCTAATTTTTAATATGTTTTAAATATAAATTTTAGTATAAAAGATTTAACATAATTAATTCAAAATTCATGTGCAAAGTGATAGTTTTTAAAGTTTTGAGGTAAAATAAGAATGACTCTAAAGTTCTGAGGACTCGAGGGAGAACAATCCTTAGACCATCTCCAATACAAATGCTAATGTTAATTGTATATTTACCAATAAAAAGTGTAATATAGTATGTTATTTTCATTTTTACTCCAATTTAAAATGCTATTTGAAATGCTAAATTTACTATTTTCCATAATTATTAAGCTGTGAAAGTTGTAAAAGTAAACTTTTATGTTTAAAATAATTAGAAAATATAAAAGTTGTAATGATTACATAAAAAAGTAAATATTTCAACTAATAGTAATCAAATGTCAAATTTTCTATATGCTATACTTGGTGGGATATTTGTCACAAAGTATAACATATGAGAAATTTAATATAATAAATAGTATTGCATTAGAGAGTGTTTTTTGCACTCAAATGCTATATTTGCAATTAACACATCTAACTATTATAGTATTATATTGGAGATACTCTTATATGATATAAAAGAATAGGGTTTTGTATAAGATTTTTTATCATACTTTTTCTGTAACATATAGCAGTGACAAGTGGCATATAAACTGAATGTAACACTAATGTTGCAAAAGATCTAACACCAAAAAATTTAGCTATGCCAAACTAGTGCAACATTTTTTCAAAACTAATGCTATATTGAATAAATATCATTTTGCAGCATTTCGCACTTTTATATGTCATTGAAAAGTGTAATCCACGTGGGACCATATCAAAAGTTTAAAGGAAATCTTATTGATAAGATATAATTTTTAATCGTTAGATTATTTTACAATCATATCGTATTACAAAAATTATAATAATTCAACACAATCATATGTAAGAGTTAAAATACAATTAGACCAGAGTATTTTCTTTTCATACCTACTAAAGAATTCTACAAATTTTTTAACAAGATGCAAAAGGTTATAAAGTTTGGAGACTTCTGGTGTAAAAATCCTTTTTTTTTTGTACCTTACCACAATTGTTATATATATATATATATATATATATATAATCGAATAAGAAGGACTAATTGTATATTATTGTGCTGGTAAAATAATTGTTTTCATTTCCGCTGTGCCTCGTGTTTTTTGCGGTTCTTGCTGTGCCTCGTATTAAAAGCCAGTTAGAGCCCGTTTGGTTCATGGATTAGAACCATAAGATTAAAACTATTTTTTATTTACGTGTACTTTTGTGAGAGAAAATACTGTAGTGAACCATGAACCATGATTCGAATCAGAGAACGAATCCTCCAACCAAACGGGCTCCTCTAGCAAAAATAGGAAGGCAATTCATTAAATTTATTTTTTCAAGACTACTGTGCATACTAGAAGTGTAATTAAAAGTGTTGGTAAGCAATAGTACTAGAAACTCTTTTTAGATGTATAAGGACAAAATAGACATTTTCTACTATCATTTATGAATTTTTTTGTACTGATATTTATAATTTCGGTATTTAATAATTCATTATATAAAAGTAAACATTCTTTTTTATTTTAATTAAAACTATAAATTTTACAGTTACAATTTATTTATTTTAAAATGTTTAAGTGGATGAGTATATACGTATGACGAAACAATAAAAAAGAATTAGATGTGGTGAATTTTCAAAAGTAAATAAGAGTAGTTAGCTTTTTTTATTTATCAGAAATAAAATGTTTAAAATTAGTGCTTATTATTAAAAATATAGTGATAAATTTAGATGACGATAATTGTGAAAAAAATAACTCTCGTACTACTTCTTAAATTGTTGAATATTATTTATTTACGATGTGATACGCAAAAATTCAAAGAGTATAGCAGTAAATTAAAAGAGGCGAGTTTAAGGGGGTTTATTCGCTAATTTTCTCACTAAGTTTTCGGCTATTGGGCTCGACTGGTTCATCGTCCCATACCTATTCGGAAACTTCTAGTCTATTTGGGCTTCGTCCCTCAAAACTTATGTGCCGATTTACATCAAGTAAGAATTATCTTGACAAATAAAGTGTATGGCTCAAGATTTTTATTATTTATTTTTAATTTATAATTTTTTTAGTTAAATAATTACATTAAAGGGTAAAGGTATTCATGCACTTTTAAATGTAAATTATCTATTTTTTAAAATAATGGCTTTGTTGGCCCAAAAACATCAAAAATTTTTTTTTTGAAATAACAGATTCTTTTCAAGTTAAAAGAGTAATGTTATATTTGGTATGATAGAAAAGAGGAAGGAAGTGGATAGAAGAATTATTTAGGACTGACAATCCGGATAGCAACATGACGACACGACTCGAAACTCGCACGAAGATAGCAGTTTTGGGTTTACTATAGATGGGTTTGGGTAATAATCGGGTTGACACGATTAATAAATTGGTTGAGTTAGGGTTGACCTCCTAACACGAAGTAACACGATTAACTATATGTATCATCTGTAATCTAGTAATATGTGATATAACATGAGTTTATAAGACATTAAATACAAAAAATGTGAAATTTAATAATTGTAGGTAAAATTCATTTATTTTTTTAAAAGGAAAAGATAAATGAACCAATAAATATGTTAAAACTTTATTGACCGTGTTAAATAAATCATTATTATATTAATTATTTATTCAATATATTAATTTAAGCGAGTTATACGGGTTGACACGATTAACACGATTAATAAATATGTCGTGTTTGGGTTGACATTATTAACACGTTTAATAAACATGTTGTGTTTAGGTTGATATTTTCTGACACGATTAATAAAGAGAAGAGGGAGGGTGGGTGAGAGAATGGGAGAAAGGAGATAGAAAAATAAAGAGAATCATAGAGAAGAGAGAAAGAGGGAGGGTGGGTGAGAGAATGGGAGGGAGGAGATAGAAAATAAAGAGAATTATAGAGATTTTTTTAAAAAAAAATTAGGAGTATTTTTTATTATTTTTTAATGCAAAAAAACATTTCATTAATGAAAAAATCATGAACCTTACTGCGAACTCAATACATAAAATTTGATACAACAAACCAAAATTGATAGATCCATTGGCGTCCTAGTACAAGGATCAAAGGTTCGATAATAGACACAATTTGGAGCACTTATTTTGGCTCGTTTAATTCTCCCTCCACTATTGGCTCTCTCAAAAGGACTGTAGCAAACTCCCTGTAAAGATTGATATCTGAAAGTCAGTATTATTTCAGATCATGCTTGCCGAAGCGGGAGATCTGGCTAAAGACATATAGAAGATAAAAAACAACACAAAACCCACACAAAGTTATAGCTTGGCGGGGAAACACGACCAAAAATAACAAAAACAACCAAATCCCACACATATCTAACGATTTATGGGAGAAAACAAACACCAACACTGATGGAATGACTGCCTTTATTTCACAAACAACTAAAAAAAGAGAAGAAAACATCAGCATTGACTCCACCATCATGTAGATCGACTGACACAGAGCGCATGAGTATATTTTAATGGCCGACTGACCAAAAACATGCTTTCAATAGCTAACCAAACTATTCTCCTTCTTCCTCCTCTCTCTGAAATTCTCTCACTAGAAAACCTCTTGTATATTTGATATTTTAGTTCTAATTAAATGCTTGATTTATTTAAATCTTCTATGCACTAAATCTTGTTTTAATTTTTCCTCGCAAAATTGCTATGTGCTTCATTAACCCTTTTTTTTTTTTCAATAAAACAACACCGATTTTATTATTTATTATTTTATTTTTGTCTAAAGGCCACCGATTTTCGTTGCTTTATGGCAAGATACGCGTATTAATTTTTAGATATAGAAAAAAAAAGAAACACAAGGGAAAG